CAATAGCTTTCACGTGATGTGACCAATTGACCTAAACTTGATTTTAAACAATAGTACTAAGGTCGGACAATAAGACAGACCTCTTTATTTCTGATTTGTCCTCTTTCTGTTAAATGTACAGGCAAATCTTGAACATTCCATATCATAGCGTCCACGTCACATGACCAACTGACCTAAAATTGATTTCAAATAATTGTACTTATGTCGACCAATAAGACACATATTATTTGATTAATTTTCATTGTGTCTCTAAACTTCTTTGTGTGCTCCTTACTTTTTCAACTGAGGAGCACATGTGCTCCTTGTGAAAAAAGTTAGCGTCAAGCCCTGCTTTTTACTCTTCTATCTGAGGTTTAACATTTTACTATACCTCCAGTGTTTAATCAGTTTGTTCAGTTTTATTTATTTTTATGTAAAATTTGTCATTATCCCTCATCTTTTTATGTGCAGCATTTTGTGTTGCATGATCATTGTATGAAAAATGCCTTAAGAATAAAGTCTGATTGATTAATTAATTGATACGCACACACACATATATATAGTGGATATAAAAAGTCTACACACCCCTGTTCAACTGCCAGGTTTTAGTGATGTAAGAAAATGACGGCAAAATATATATTTACACAACGTTTTCCACCTTTAATGTGACCTATAACCTGTACAATGCAATTGAAAAACAAACTGAAACTTTTAAGGGGAAAAATAAAAAAAATAGAAAAGTTAAAATAACCTTGTTGCATAAATATGCACACCCTTAAACTAATACTTTGTTGCAGCAACTTTGGCTTTTATTACATCACTCAGTCTTTTTGGGTAGGAGTCTATCAGCGTGGCACATCTTGATGTGGCAATATTTGCCCACTCCTCTTTGTAAAACCGCTCCAAATCTGACAGATTGTGAGGGCATCTCCTATGCACAGCCCTCTTCAAATCACCCCACAAATGTTTGATGGGATTCAGGTCTGGGCTCTGGCTGGGCCATTCCAAAGCCTAAATCTTATTCCAGTGAAGCCATTCTTTTGTTGATTTAGATGTGTGCTTTGGGTCATTGTTGTGCTGAAAGATGAAGTTCCTCTTCATCTTCAGCTTTCTAGCAGAAGGCCAAAGGTTTTGTGCTAACACTGACTAGTATTTGGAACTGTTCATAATTCCCTTCACCCTGACTAAGGCACCAGTTCCAGCTGAAGAAAAACAGCCCCAAAGCATGATGCTGCCACGACCATGCTTCACTGTAGGTATGGTGTTCTTTTGGTGATGAGCAGTGTTGATTTTGTGCCAAATATACCTTTTGCAATGATGCCCAAAAAGTTCAACTTTGGTTTCATCAGACCATAACACATTTTCCCAGATGTGTTTGGGAGATTTCAGATGTCTTTTGCAAAATTAAGCCAGGCTTTGATGTTTTTCTTTGTAAGATAAGGCTTCCATCTTGCCGCCCTACCCCATAGCCCAGACATATGAAGAAAGCAGGAGACTGTTGTCACATCTACTACACAGCCAGGACTTGCCAGAAATTCATGCAGCTCCTTCAGTGTTGGTGTCGACCTCTTGGTAGCCTCCCTGACCAGTTTTCTTCTTGTCTTATCATCAATTTTGGACGGACGTCCTGTTCTTGGTAATGTCACCATTGTGCCATATTTTCTCCCCTTGATGATGACGAGCTTCACTGTGTTCCATGGTATATTCAATTCCTTGGAAATTCTTTTGTATCCCTCACCTGACTGATATCTTTGAACAATGCGATCCCTCTGATGCTTTGGAAGCTCTCTGCAGACCATGGCTTGTCCTCGAAGATGTGGCAACAAAAATGTCAGGAAAAGCCTACTAGAACAGCTGAACTTTATTTGGAGTTGATCAGAGGTACTTTAATTGGTAACAGGTGTGTGCTGACTCCAATTTAACCTGAGTTTGAATGTTATTGGTTAAATCTGAACACAGCCACATCCCCAGTTGTTAAAGGGTGTGCACACTAATGCAACCACATGATCTCAGTTGTTTATTTTTACTTCACCTCCCTGAAAGATTTCTGTTTGTTTTTCAATTGTGTTGTACAGGTTATAGGGCACATTAAAGGTGGAAGAAGTTGTGAAATTATTTATCTTGATTTAATTTTTTTACATGACAAAAACCTGGCAGTTGAACAGGGGTGTGAAGACTTTTTATATTCACTGTATACACTCTCTCTCTCTCTCTCTCTCGCTCTCTGCAGGACTCACATCTGGGACCTGTAACACCTGTGAGTGAACACATCATGGAAATCCTGCAGACAACATGAATCCATAATCCAGACGGATCGGTAACATGACATCCAGCAGAAACAGACAAATTTTAAGAAACAGGTGAGGTGCTTTCAGTAACACAGTTTGATTTTTATTTTTTTTTCACCCACAATCAGAGACTTCACCACAATCTCAGCTGAGCCAGAAACATAAAAACAGTCTGACAAATGAATGTGATTATTATTAGAGTGATTGAAAAGCTCACAACATGTTGATCTGCCAAAAGTGTCATTATAGACGTCTTTACAAACAGACTGATCCAACACAAGCAGACAGAAATATCCAGCTACGACATGAACACAAATATTCAGCAAACAGAGAAAGCACAGATCATTGAAAGTGTTTTTGGGGATGACTGGAAAGACTCTAGATGGTTGGATTTGGGACAGGAAACAGGCTGTGCTTTTTCATCTTACATACATTATTTTGACGTCATTTTTTCTAAAGTCTTAGACTTTCAAAATCTGCACCAACTGAAGGGGATTTGAACACATGGTCATCTTGATGTTGTTTTTTTCAAACTTTAGTGAAGATTTGACAAAATGAGATATACAAACAATTAAAGTTATGCACAATCACTGTCCTTAAAGCTGCAACCAAATCAGCATCTTTAGAAAAGAATTTTTAAAAAAGCTGAAATGAAGAACTAAACAGACAGTTTTTGGTGAGACTGATTCACAAACATTAACAAACCAGAACATTTTAAGAGTATAACGATCTCATTACATGTTTTTGGTCTGATGGACTCCAAATTCTCTTTATTTCAGTTCAATGAACTCAGCAGAGTCTCCAAATAGGTAGCCAATCCACAGTCCAGCATGTAGTGGCTGAGTGAATGTGGTCTGGACTCTGTGGAGGAGAGTCATGGTTTCAGAGACGCTGTAGAAGGACACAATACCTGCTCTGTGATCCAGGTACACTCCTACTTTGGAAGACTGAGGACCTGAGACATGAGTGATGACTTTGTTGTGCATAAATTCATACATGTTATGAGAACAGTATAACCTCCAAGATTTTTCATTGTCTCCAAATAAACAGTCATTTGAGTCTCCTGCTCTGCTGATAGTCTTGTATACTACTGCTACCCGAACCCCGTACCCTCTCCAGTCCACCTCCCAGTATCAACGCCCAGTCAGACACTCTCTACTCAGGACCTGAGGATAATGATCAGTGAATCTCTCTGGATGATCAGGATAAAACTGATGCTGTTTTCTAAATGTTGCTCTTCTGTTTCCATCAGATAATAACAGCCATCCGTGTGCTGTGTTTGGATCCAGTGTGATTCTTTGTGAAAATCTTAAGAAATCAGCTCTGGTCTTGGGTTCTGGTTCTGGTTCTAGTGGTTCTGACAGCAAAACATCCACTTCAGTCACTGCCTGTGAGATGTTTGTCCACGTCTCTGTCAGAAGATCCTGGAGTTTATCTCTGAGCTCTGACACAGCTGCTGTCACCTCCTCAAAGTATCTCTGAGGACGGATGTTGATGCTGGATGAGTCTGCAGGTTGACCCGGTCCTGACAGTGAGGAATAGCTGTGCAGAAACTGGTTGTGGTCCTCTGTGAGTGAGAGCTTCTGCAGATCAGTGTCTTTCCTCTTCAGCTCAGTGATCTCCTGTTCCAGTTTCTCCTGAAGGTCTTTGACTCGATTCACTTCACGTTCCTGCTGGGATCTGACCTGCTGCTCCATGTCAGAGCGACGTTTCTCCATGAGACGGATCAGCTGGCTGACGATCTCCTGGCTGTGCTCCACAGCTTTATCAGCAGAGCAGTTGATAGCCTCCACCTCCTGTTGGAGCAGCTTCACATCTTCCTCTCTGTCCTGGATTCTCTGCTGGATGTTTCCTCGACTCTCCTCCAGATTTTTCTGCCTCTCAGTCCTTTCTGCTGCAGCTGAGACTGTGTCATGGCCTTGTGTTGGTCCAAAGAGCAGAGATAACAGATAGACTGTTGATCAGTGCGGCAGAAGATCTTCATCACCTCATCATGACAAGAGCAGATGTTCTCCTGGAGCTTCTTGGAGGGCTCCACCAGCTTGTGTGTCTTAAATGTAGGTGATTCATAATGAGGCTGGAGGTGAATCTGGCAGTAAGAAACCAGACATTGCAGACAGGACTTGACAGCTTTTAGTTTTCTCCCACTGCAGACGTCACAGGCCACATCTTCAGGTCCAGCATCAGAGGGATCATCGGGAGCTGACTGGAGTCCACTCTTCTTCAGTTTCTCCACTAAACCTGCTAACATGGTGTTTTTCTTCAGGACAGGCCTCGGTGTGAAGGTCTGTCTGCACTGAGGACAGCTGTAGATGTTCTTCTAATCCTCTTTATCCCAGCAGGTTTGAATACAGCTCATGCAGAAGCTGTGTCCACAGGTAACAGTCACTGGATCAAGAGAAACAGATGGAACAAGAAAAAAATTCCCAGTCCAGCTGAACTCCTCTCTGCGCCATTTCAACACTCGCTGTTGACGACTGACTGAGTTTTATTTCCTGAAAAGTAAAACTAGTCTGAGCTCTGATCTCAACAACATGTGTGTCAGCTGGATCAGTTTAGCACACGTTGGTAACACCGAGCCACAAACTGTAGATCTGAAGGAGGGGGAACAAGGAAGTGAGTGTGTAGAATAGAGTGTTCTGTGTGAAAGACTAGGGAGGTGAAATCCAGTTTTTCTACATTCCTGGAAGGGGAGAGGAGATATTTTGGTAGCACCATAATTCGGTGCTGTAATACCAGGGTAGTACCAGGGTAATTGCAGTTGCCCTTGTACTACCCCGGTATTACACTGCAGTTACCCCGGTACTACCGTGGTATTACTCTGCCGTAACCCTGGTACCGGTATTACCCTGCGGTTACCCTGGTATTACCTGGTACTACCTTGCAGTGAGCACAGTACTACCCCAGTATTACCCAGGTACTACCCCGGTATTACCATGCAACTAGCCCAGTACTACCCTGCAGTAACCCCAGTACTACCCAGGTATTGCCCTGCAGGTACCCCAGTTCTACCCCAGAATTACTCTGCAGCAACTCTAGTGCTACCCTGTAATTACACAGGTACTACCACGGTATTACCCTGCATTAACCACAGTACTGCCCCAGTATTGCCCTGCAGTTACCCAGATACTACCCTGTTATAACCATGTGACTATCCAGGTAATACCCTGCATCAATTCCGGTATTACCCCGCTTTAACCCCCGTATTGCCCTGCAGTTACCCAGATACTACCCTGGTATTACCATGCAACTACCCCCAGTAATACCCTGTAATTACCCCGGTACTACCTCGGTATTACCCTGCAGTTTTCCGGTATTACCCAGGCATTACCCTGCAGTTACCCTGGGACTACCCCGGTGTTAACATGCAACTACCCTGGTACTTCCCTGTTATTATGGGATGTATTATAAAGTACTACTGAAATTTTTATAAATTACTGTGGGGCAGGTGACTTTTACATGGTGAGGGGCAGGTGTGACTTTTAAACGTAAATGAGATGCTAAACATGGACATGGACTGAGCTGAAGGCACTTAGGACTGTCCTCAATTATTATTATTATTTGTAAGATAATGAGTGATTTGTTGATTGACAGTTGACAGTTTGTGTTAGACAGTGATGTTAATTGTATCACTGCTGTGAACTTTACAGCATGAAGACATGTTGATTATAGTTCCAGGTAGATAGAAAGAGGGTTAGTCAGAAAGGAGGGAGGTGGGTAGGTAGGAAATACTGCACACTCACAATAAATAAGTTATTAAAATGTATCTAATTTATCTGAGTTAACATATTTTACCTTTTAAACGGCAGGCCTTGGCATATTTTGTTTTTTATAAGTAAAGTCAACTTATTATATTTTACAGTGCAGGGGATCAACACGGTGCCACAGCTTCTTTGTATACAGTGTCAGTGTGACTCTGCAAACTGTCACACACCCATTTCTGTCTGTGTTTACAGATGGTGTGTGTGTCAGCATGTACACATCAGGCAGCAACCAAACCAGCAGGCATAAAACAAAGTTCACCTGATACCTGCAGATTTTTCCATTTCTATACTGTTTTTTTACATGCACACACAGGAGGAAGATTTGACACCAGTGCAAACACACACACACACACACAAACATGCTTACAGTGTTTTTATTCAATTTAATCTGATAAATCGGATTTCCACCTTTTAAATGCATCATCCCTAACCTTTCAGAAATACTGTACGACTGACATTCAAGCCAATAAAACAAATTAAGCTGCACTGAAAGTGTGTGTGTGTGTGTGTGTGTGTGTGTGTGTGTGTGTGTGTGTGTGTGTGTAGGAACTGTGTAGTAAAAAATTAAATCCATCTCTCACTCTGGCAGATTCAATATTTATCAAATACAGATGCAGGTGTCTGACTGAAGAATCTTAAATTACCACAAAGACAGAGATAGAAAGAGAGAGAGGGTGAGAGAGATGCCCTTCCTCCCATTCTGAATATCAGCTGCAGGACTGCACACTGAACCAGAACACTCTTCATCTTTTCCAAAACACGTCACATCCATCAAAAGCATCTGTTCAGACCTTTTCAGATTCATCATTTGACCAAACCAAATAAAGTGCAGCAGGATTTCACTCATCCATCACAATGTTCCAACACAACTGCCCACTTAAAAACATACAAACAGAGGACAGATTTACCCTCACAGAGAAAATAAAAAAACATCATGTCTCTCAGAAAGACAGAAAAGTACCTGGTTCAGAGGGTCTCAGTATTTCTTCTCCAAAGAGAGCCAATCAGGAGTGAGTCCAGCTGTCACCTGATGACTGGATTTGATCTGCAGCAACCTGAAAGAAAGGAGAGAGTCTTTAGGAGAAGGTCAGGTCCGCATGAGCAAATAAAGCACTCTCCTGTCCCCTCTTGTTTCCAGCCGAGCGTCTGTAAAGCCTACAGACCTTTGCCCGGGTATCATAAGGTGTGTACTGAAGTGTGTTTCATTGAAAGGTCAGAGATAAAGCTGGGACAGAGACCACTGAGTGCTTTAAACATAATTAATCTGCAGATCAATCTAAGGACAAACTGGCAGCCAGTGTGAAGACGCGCAAACAGACACACTGTTAAAACTCTGACCATTCATCTGAGGAGTCCAAAGAAAGAAGAACAACTTCACCAAGAGACTTCAATCCTGGGTCTTCAACCCTTTCAGTCGTAGAAAGTGTCGCAACACTGCATGAAACAGGGTGTCTAACATGCCAGGTGGAGTATAACCTGTGAATATTTGGCTAAAATAACTCAAGTCTCTTTTTATCCGGGTTTAAATGAGCAGATATCTGAGGACAGATTATAAAATAGGATTTGGGATCATGAATTGAGCCCATACATCTTTAAGATTCAGAGAGCAGAGCTGAATAGAGTCTGATTGGATTACAGAGATAGAGAAACATCTAAATGCCCATGAACGATTGTGATCAATTCAACCATCAAATCTGATATCCTTCACTGCGTCTCTATTCGACATCCGAGCCTTCATCCCTAGTTTTCAGCTCAGCAGAGAAACCAGCAGACACAGAGGAGCCCCCCCTCCCTCTGAGGAGCTGCCTCTGATATCGATGATGGCTAACGGCGAGGATGTTGACGCTTCAGTTTTAAATGAGCAAGTCGGGCCAGTGTCAGATCCAGAGGAAGGCCTTTGTACTGCAGAGACCAATATGTCTGCTTAATGAGAGTGTGGTTCAGCCGTGGACAGTGCAGCCTTATGGGAAGGATGCTGCTGCTGCTTGGGTCTTATTAAGATGAGAGGGCAGATAAGTGGATGAAGGAGAGTAGGTCTGGCTTTTGTTGGCGGCTCAGACCTCCTCTGTTTCTGCTGACAGTCTGCTGCATTCAGCTGGAAATGGTTTTCTGGAGGAGTCCTGTCTGCAGCAGGAGAGGGGGAATGAGTTCTGCTCCTCTAAGCTGAACTTCAACAATAACAGCAATTCTTATAAAAAAGGTACTTGAACAAGTTTACACACACCAATTAGTTCTGCAGTGTTGACTTTCTTAAAAATGTTGTAGTTCAAACAACTTTGAAATATTGTGTGGGGGATGTTACAAGTACAATGCAATTTAAATGCAATAAAAAAATAAAAAAAAACAACTGGTGCTGAAGTGCTAAAAACTGCAGTTTCATAAATTTCCACTAGAGGGTGTCTGCAGAAACACTAGGAACAATGAACACACTCATTCAAACAGCAAAAACAAACACCTCTACAGCCTGGTAATATTAGAGGTCATGGGGCTGGTGACACTTTAAGGAATATTCCGGCATAAGTTTAAGTCATGGTCAAATGAGTTAGACACCCCCGCGAGAGATGAATGTTGCCGACTGCCTGCTTCTCTAGTTATACCAACTTTAGTAACGACCGCACAATAGCAATAAACAACAGCCTATGTCTCCACACGCAAATCTCAACCAAAAAGCCACTTTATAGCCACAAATAATGCTCAGAACAGCACCTAACTACATAAACGGTACAAATAGGGTCCAGGCCATAGCACTAGCCACCAAACATCTTTTTAGCTTTGCCTAATTTCTTAAGCAAAGAGACTAAACACGACCGAAATGCAATTACAGTTCTTGTGTTTCTTGTGTGTGCTCTGCAGATGTGGTAGTTCTTCTGCCTTAGCGTCTCGGTCTGATTGCATTTCCACGAAGTAATAATCATAAATGTTCTTCCTTGAGCTGCGGAACTCCACTGCACTCGGTGATCGACTCATCAGGACTCCCCCACAAACAAGCTGCTGCTGGAGGAGAGTGGGTAAGTTGTGTTGCGTCACTTTGCTAAAGAAACCAGGCAACGCTAAAAAGATATTGGCTGGCTGGGACCCTACATGTACTGTTGATGAAGTTAGGTGCTGTTCTGAGCATTATTTGTGGCTATAGAGTGGCTTTTTGGCTGAGGTTTGCACGTGGAGACGTAGATCGCTGTGTATTGCTATCATGCTAAAGTTGGTAAAACTAAAGAAGCAAGCAGTCAGCAACATTCATCTCTCAAGGGGCTATCTAACTCAGTGTTACAGTGTGTTTGACCATGACTTAAACTTATGCCAGAGTATCCCTTTTTAACTAACTTTAAACATCTTTAGAAATGGATGATAAAAGGTAAGTTAGTCAACTGTGTTTAGTATGAAGGTACATGAGGCTTTATCCATGTCCTGGTTTTTCTTCATTGACTGAAAGCTCTGTTTTCCCTATGTTTTCTATACATACCGTAACAATGCTAAGGTTTGACATTTAGACATTTGCTGGATACTTTACTCTCTGACGCACCTGTCCTAAATAATACATTGTGAAGGTTTGACATATAAAAACATGCTAACTGACTTAATTAAGAGTTGTTCCATTAAAATTATTCAGTAATCAAAATGCTAATTACCACTATTGTAGCACTCTCCTTTTTCTCTGCATACCCTACAAAGTTACTCTAGAGTATATGTCCTCCAACATATTACTGTGCAGAAATGTGAGGCTCATGCTTGACTGTTTCCTTGCCACTTTCAATCATTGTCATCTAATTTGTACTGCAAACACAGATCATACTGTATAGTGACAACAATATCACTGCAGATTACATTCAAACCAGAACAAATGAAAACTAGGGAGGAAAACACAACCAGTGGTCTTTACAGCAGGGTTGCCAGGTGTACGATAACTATCGTATTTGTAGGATTATTTTGCCCTCTGTATAATGTACGATCAATAATCCCCCAAAAAAGGCTAAATGTATGATAATTTGACAGTTTCATGAAAGTGTGGTGCAATTGGACTGTCTCAGTCTGCCAGACACTTTATCTATGGAGCG